AGTAATATTAAATAAGTTTAATTTTTAACTCTGCTGTCAACGAAGTCAAGCTGAGCTTATAGTATTATTGATTGTTTGTCGGCGTCCATCGTCTGTCGTCGCCATCGTCAACTTTACATTTTAACTTCTTCTTAAAAACCACAAACTGTATAGCTGTGAAACTTTCTAGAAAGGTACCTTGGGTGGTTCTCTCTCAGATTTGTTCATTTTGTGTGGATATGTTCAAATATCTTATTTATAGCGAATATTTTGGTCATTTTTGGTCAAAAATGCTATTTTCGACTTCTTTTTGAAAACCGCTAGCCCAAATGCTTTGATACTTGGTGTGTAGGTATCTTGGGTGGACCTCTCTCAGAATTGTTCATTTCGTGATGATATCTTCTTTTCTCTAATTTTGATGAATATTTTTGTAATTCTTGGTAAAAAATTATATTTTCGACTTCTAATTGAAAACTGCTAGTCTGATTGCTTTGATCTTGTATATGTAGGTACATCAGGTGGACCTCTGTCAGATTTGTTGATTTTGTGACAGTATCTTCAATTCTCTAATTTTGATGAATATTTTTGTAATTTTTGGTCAAAAACGTTATTTTCAACTTCTTGAAAATCCGATTGCTTTGTAACTTTATTTGTAGGTACCTTGGGTGAATCTTAGATTTGTTAATTTCATGACGATATCTTCAATTCTCTATTTTCAGCGAATAGGTTTGTCATTTTTGGCTCAAAAATGATATTTTTGACTTCTTCAAAATTGTTAACCTGAATGTCATGATTCTTGGTGTATATGTACCCTGGGTGGACCTATATCAGATTTGTCACTTCCTGTCAACATCTTCAATTCTATATTTTTAGCAAATATTTTTGGCATTTTTCATCAAAAATCATATTTTTGACTTGTCCTTCAAAACCAGTAGTCCAAATTCTTTGATACTTGTACACATGCAGCTTGGGTAGACCTCTATTAGATTTGTCCATTTCGTAAAGATATCTTCAATTCTCTACTTTTAGTGAAATATTCTCTGCAACCAAATCAAGAAAGTTGGTGTCTCGCGATATTGAAGCAGCTAGCATAAAGTTTAAATTGCTTCTTAGTCATTGCTTTCAGAGCGGACAAACAGCGGAGCTATATCAGCCGACAGGCTGCTAGTTCATAGTTGTGATGATAAATGGCTGTATTTATTATGTTTTATGAGGAAAACAGCATAATTGTCTCAATTACATGTATTTTTCCCCTTTATTCAAAACATTGTTTACATTTCACACTTGAATACCAGCTCACAGGATCTGTGCATAAGCAGATTTGTATGTTATTTTGGTGTATGTTATGTACATCAGTAATGTCTCACATTGATATACTTTATTATGCTGTAGTAATTCACTTTGTGATGATAAAACAGGCACATTGTAATGTACAGTACAGGGGTTTTATATTTTGGCAAATAAATTAGTTTTAGATTTCTTAAAATATTGTTTTTTATTATTTACACTTTTTTTTATTTATTGGATATGTATTTTTGAGGATGTAATAAATTACTATTATCACTGTGTTTTTTATTGCAGTGATGCGGTTTATTTCACTTCATTGCTGTGTGAAGGAAAGAAATATTTACCATGGTTGATGGAAAGGTGAGGTGAATTATGAAATTTAAATATTAGTGAAACAAATTTAGGTTACTTTGGGATTTTTAATTTTGATATCATTCTCCATTAATAAAGAAAGAATGTAAATTTGGATTGTGATTCACTAGTATTTGCAGAAAAGTTGAGTGTCAAGGTACTGCTTGCTGGAGGGAGCCCTCTATGGTCATAGTTTTGAATTAGAAATACTGTAAAATCTGTATTAGAAACCGCGGCTTCTATTAAAATGGTACAATGCAACAGAGGGGATGCGGCTTCTAATAGAGCATCTACACATATGAGAAATGATGAATTTTTGGTTCTCAATTATTCAAAAAAAATGGGTGCGACTTCTATTAGGGATGCGGCTTCTAATACAGATTTTACAGTAATATGTGAAATGCATCAGTCTAGATTTTTTGATCACATGACTGAAACTTGAAATTTTCAAATGATATTGCACTTTTATGAACACAAGAACTGCAGTACCGAAACACTTAAATTTAAAACTTTTTGTGAGAATTTTTTTGACCAAGAAATCAATAATTTTTAGTCCCTGTTCGGACGCAGTCCGAAAACGGGGACTTATGTTTTGACCTCCGTGCATCTGTGTGTCCACGCGCCCGTGCTTCCGTCCGTGTGTGCGTGCATCCAGACCTGTATCTTAGAAATGCCTGGACCAATCACAATCAAACTTCACACATACATCATACATGATATTATACATATGCACATCAATTTGTTTCACGATCTGATTCAAGATTGTCGAATGGCGGCCATTTTTGTTTTAAAAATCATTAAAATCAAGCATTTCTCGGCTGTTTACAGATGGATTTTGTTCAAACTTGGTATATATGTTGGACATTATAGGACTTTGATGCACATTATTTTCAGATCAGATTCAAAATGGCCGACTGACAGCCATTTTGTTTTAATGAATGTGGTTCTAGTGCCATATCTCTGACTTGCTGTGACTGATTATGTTTAAATTTCAAATATTCATTATACATCATGTTATAGATATACAGATATATTGGTTTGAGGATCCTATTAGAAATGGCCGACTGGCGGCAATTTTGTTTTAATAAATGTGGTTCTAATGCCATATCTCTGACTTGCTGTGACTGATTATGTTCAAATTTTATATATTCATTAAAACAAAATCAGCCATTTTGAATACATGTAGTAAAACAAAATCAGCCATTTTGAATACATGTAGTATTCAAAATGGCTGATTTTGTTTTAATTAATGCTGTTCCAGAGCAATATCTCTCAATACTCGTTTGACGATCAGATACAAATGTCAAATATTAAACAATCATCATAATCATATTCCTGACATGTTTATATTCCAGCTACTGTAGAATACTTTATTTTCGCTTGGAATTTATTTTCGCTATTTTCGCTGAAAGGATGATTCAGTGAAAATAAAATCCAGCAAATATACTTTTTTCCCTATATTTCACATTCAACTCATTAAAAATCAGTGAAAATAAATTCCATACAAAACACCCTAAATGCCTTTTCAGCGAAAATTAATTCCAGCTAAAATAAAGTATTTCACAGTATATACTATAAACAAAACTATATATCTTAAATTTGATAACTAACTGGGACTGTGCCATGCATGGCTTGTCTTAATCAAATGTATGTTCTCATTAGTTTAGAATATGAAATGTTAAATTTTTTTTGGATTTCAAAATGTCAAACAATGACATGAGAAATAACAATTCTGAAAATACTAACATGCAGCAACTGGAATTCTTTAATTTCTTAATTTATTGAACTCTGTTCAAACAAAGTCGATGTCGGGAGCTCTTCATATTACTGATTGTCCATCGTCTGTAGTATGTAGTTGTCGTCAACTTTTAACATTTTTGTCTTCTTCTTCAAAACCGTTAAACCAAAGACTATCTTCTCTATAGTCTTTGGTTAAACCAAATGCTTTCATATTTGCAACATAGATTCTTGGGGTAGTCCTCTGTCAGATTTGTTCATTTCATGATATATTCAATTCTCTAATTTTGGTGAATATTTTTGTCATTTTTGGTAAAAAGTGATATTTTTAACTTCTGTTGAAAACGACAAGTTCGATTGCTTTGATATTACATATATGGGTACTACATGTGGACCACTCTCAGACTTGTTCATTTTGTAATGATATCTTTAATTCTCTAATTTTGATGAATATTTTTGTTATTTTTGGTAAAAAGGGATATTTTCGACTTCTTGTTAAAAACAGCTAGTCTGATTGCTTTGATATTATACATATAGGTACTACAGGTGGACTTCTCTCAGATTTGTTCATTTCGTGGTGATAACTTCAATTTGTTAATTGAAATATGCATTGCTCGCTATCTCAGCTGAGAGGCTGTTATATTTTGACTTTGAAATTTGTCATTTGTTATGTGTTTTTTTCAAAAATATTGATTGAGAAAAATTATGTCTATCTAGTCAAAAATAAACATGATGAAAATGAAAAAATAATTTTTGAATGAATATTTTTTTAAAGAGCTAATTAAAAATTTGACATAGCACTCAGGGATACTTTCTGATAAATAATTTTCTACTTATTTAAATTCCATATTTTGTTTTTCAGATTCAAACGGCAAGGTGGGAGAACTATGAAGAAAAAGATTGAAAACATCAGAGAGGTAAACTTGGATCACCTGATATAGCTTATATCATTTGAATTTCATAATTTGTCCCACAAAAAATTTAGATGCAACATTCTTCACTTTTTTCTTTTAAATTTTGGACCAATTGAATAACATTTTCTATTGGCTACAGGTCTTGATAAAATTGTGGAAATAAAAATATGAAAAAAAAAAATGATTTTATGAAATGGTTTTATTTCTGAAAAAAGACACTTTCACTGCTATGGCCAACAAAATGTGTAAAACTGTTTTCATATGTAGTGCTGTAGAATGTCTATTTTAACCACGTTCTAGCTGTTTTTTATGTATACACTGAAAATATTAAATTTTGACATATTATCTACTACCATGGTAACATACATATATGTCTTTGTGTGTAGGTAGAGCAGTACGATGTTGTGGTCAATTGTACAGGTATTGGAGCAAGATCATTGGTCAATGACGCTGAAGTTCAGCCAATCAGAGGTCAGGTTATACGAGTAAGAATTGATAGATTGTCTACTGTTATTATTCGCTGGCAAGAATCGTTTGTTGATGATACAATTTTAAGATCAAGTGAACTGTTGATTTAATAGAACATATTTTCCGCTCACTGTGAAATCCTGCTTTATGCATCAAAACATTTGAATCAACAAATAGAAAGTATTGTATTTTTGGTTATTTTTATATCTTAAACTTTTCACCACCAGACTTTCTTGCCAAAATTTTGCCTGACTTTTTTTTATAATATTCTTATATATTTCTGAAACTAAATCCTAATTTTGGAGCCAACTGACAAAATTTTAGTCAATTTTCAGTTTTTACTCAAAAAATTTAGCTATTTTCATTCCTATTTTCCAAAGGAAAGTGCAGACTATAAACAGGACTACTTTGTGAATTTGTGGTGAAAAGGTTTATGAAGTAAGGATATCTCAATGCCCTATTCTCAGAAAGATGTCAGCATT